GTGTCACTACAGGGCTAGGCATGATCAGAGACACAGTCAGTCTTGTGGCTGAGCCTGCTTGAAGCTGTGTGTCACTACAGGGCTAGGCATGATCAGAGACACAGTCAGTCTTGTGGCTGAGCCTGCTTGAAGTTGTGTGTCACTACAGGGCTAGGCATGATCAGAGACACAGTCAGTCTTGTGGCTGAGCCTGCTTGAAGCTGTGTGTCACTACAGGGCTAGGCATGATCAGAGACACAGTCAGTCTTGTGGCTGAGCCTGCTTGAAGCTGTGATATAGGCATCAATCATGACACATTCAGTCTTGAGGCTGAGCCTGCTTTAAGCTGGGTGTCACTACATGGCTAGGTGTGCATAAGACAAGCACAGTCAATTTAACAACCCATTAAAGTAACATGTGGAAACTACACAGTCAAATGCACATAAAAAGTCTAAATGATAAAATTAGACTGCATTGGTTAAATAAGTTGCATGGGGATACAACAATTTGAAACATGTACAGAATTGCTTTAAAATTTTTTTATTTTTTTTTACTTAAGTGCAAGGGGGGTGGGGGGGGGCATAACACTCACTTGGTCACAATGTACAAACTGGCATATTTTGATAACCTGGCCTTATTGATATCATCCCCGCCCCACATGTTAGATAAATACAAGCTAACTGTGCAACTGCATGTTTATCTTATGGATTTTAGCACATGCTCCCCAACAGGCTGATGGATGTGAGCTGTAACTATACTGACCTGCTGATTCCAACCAAACACACAAAAAAGGTTACAACAGTTTCATCTATACTGGGACAAAGTATATGAAAAAATAAGCACAGAACAATGCACATGATATTTTATTAAGCAGTCATGACATTTAATGTATACAACTTATGTACATAAAAATGTTGGGTGTGGCCTCCCAAAATATTCATTTGTGAAAGAAAATATTTGTAATTTGTAATCATGTGTCTTGACAGTGATACAGAAGGCAGCCATATCTAGACATGAGCATGAAGAGGTTAATGGCATGAAATATAACACAGCCTGATAATTGCAAAGGGAACAGGACTAATCTTGAGGGGAAAAGGGAACCGGACTAATCTTGAGGCCCAAAGGGAACAGGATTAATCTTGAGGCGAAAAGGGAACAGGACTAATCAGACTAATAAAAGGAACACATTTATTTAATAGTTTACAGCTTGTACTAATCTTTCCATATTTTAAAAAGGAAACGGTTATGTCATATAAATAGCTACTTACTGGGGATTTTTTTGTATAAAAAGCTGCATTTTTTAAACTGGCTGCGGAGAGTGAGCACATTTATTACCATGGCCTAAGGATGTGTGCCCTAATGGTGGCTGGACATGTGCCCTAGTGGTTAGTGGTTGCTGGACGTGTGCCCTAGTGGCTGCTGGACATGTGCCCTAGTGGTTGCTGGACGTGTGCCCTAGTGGCTGCTGGACATGTGCCCTAGTGGTTGCTGGACGTGTGCCCTAGTGGCTGCTGGTTCAAGGTGATGGTGATGATGAGACTTACTAAAATGCCGAAAAGAGAAAGTTTTAAAATGCCTCATCATAAAAGTTTATGGTTCAATGATAATTTATTCTAATTGATGAACAAAGCACCGAGTCACACCGAGTCACACCGAAAGCAAACACAGCTAAACAAAATTATCAACTACTATGTCAGAGGTTCCCAAAATAAAAAAAAAAAATCACAGTCCACCTGCTGTAGCCAGGTTTGCCCCTTGGCACTCTATGTCAAATCTAATAATAAGTGCACTGCAAAATAGCGGATATTTAATTTTAAAACATTTTAAAGTAAAAATCTATCCATTTTTCAAACTACCATACAGACATTGAAAGCATGCAAATCTGACAGCTATTTATTATAAAAACACAAAGTACCCACAAATTTTGATTGACTACTTAACAACAGATAAACCTGTTTATTATAACTGCCATAAACAAAACATTTGTAAAGACTTGTGCAAACAGTCCACCAGATGTGCCATAATATTACATTATGAAAATTTTCTAACACTTCCTGACGCCTGTGTGGCAGCTGCAGCTCCATAGGGGGCGGCAGCATACAGTTTGGGAACCTCTGGCCTATTTGTTTGTTCAAATTTTTCTTTTATTAAATGTAAGTGTTGCCCAGTGTTGCATGAGAACAATTTGTTTCCAAATAATATTTATTATTAAAACTGAATTATTTTTTTTAAAAATAAGACAATATGACAAAAGTGCTGATTAGGTGTGGGAGCAAAGAAATGGAACAGACAAATAAAAATTAAAATGAGAAAAATGAAAACTGACTGGCATCACCATCATGGACCCCTTTATACTGCTGCAACAACGAAAGGTTAAGCTTTTTTAAATGAACCCTTGCCTCGACAAAGTTAAACATCATTTGGTTGTTCGAGCACGCTATTCTTGTAGATGTACAGTAGCATGGCAAAGACAGATTATGTAACTAATGTAAGACCTCGAGTGAATAAAAAAAGAGTGTTTTGTTTGATGAACATTAGTTCATTGGTCAAACAGAATAACATAATTTCATCCTGTTCAAAATTAAATGTCAATTAGGATGCAACAAATAAATGGGCCCCCCAACCAAACTTTCCATGGGTTTCTGTAATACTTAGGAGTTTTGTCAGTGCATCAAATCACTGACCAGGGCAGCAAGCCCATCACTTCTGGCACCAGGTAAATTTATAAATGCTTCTTTAAATAACAACATCAGACAATAATCTTCAGCCTTCTTCTCTTTCAAATTTTCAGTTGACTTAAAAAATATACCATTTTTATATTTATTTATTTATTTATTTTAATTGTAGATTTATATATATCAGAGGTGTAGCTAGAGTGTTTGGGGCCCGGGGACAAGATTCCTTTTAAAGCGCCTCCCTTTCTTTTGTCAACACTGAAACCCATTATGTTCATCAATAAAATAATATCAAAGCAAATTTTGGCGCCCCAAACTAGTCTGACGCCCAGGAACATCTGTTCCCATCTACCCCCCCCCCCATTAGCTACGCCTCTGATACATATATAGTTGTCAAATTCTATGCATTTTGAAGATTATTTAAACAATTATATATATTCGGTCTTCCATTATTTACTGCTATGTTTGGTCAGCCAAATGGTTAACTGATTGACTAGCCTCCATGCACCTTCACTTCTGCAAGTCAGCACCTGCTGAACTTGAGCCTGGCAGGGTTTAATAAAAATAATTTAAGCTTGAATGTGTATGGAATGTTTCTTTGAGAAAGTGATCACATGGTAAAATGTCGTGTGTAGTCATATTCTATAGTCGGGATTATGGCTTGGACAAACTTGAGGAATATCATCAGGTACCTAGGACTGAGGTTAAGAGAAATAAACATGATCAGATTCTAGATTCTTGATGAATTCTTAAATGTTAGGAAAGTATTATTGCTTGACTTACTAAGACTGTACTAACTTCAGAAATGAAGAGACATTCACCAGCAAGGGAACAGAGTACAATAGGTGATATCTGGTTTATGATAAAACCATTTGGATCAACCTGAACATTTTGAGATGCCTTCTTAACCCTTGAACTGTGACATTCATCATTCTGTAGTGTGGGGAGCTTTTCAGAGCTCTTTGAGTGCCTTTTGAGATTGCATTAAATGACATTGAAATATTGATACAAGACCCCAATAAGTATATATTTTTAGAAAGGTAAATGGATGGGGATAAAGTTGGCCATATTGCCCACCCCGAAAGTTTTTTTTTTTTTGCTCAGTGTCTCACAAAATGTCTTGCTTTCAAGTGCTCATAACATTATTAATTTTTATAAATACACTTAAAACACAAATCTAAATGTTGTAGCCAATTCATGGATCTTTCAGAAAATGTATAGTTTGCTGAGGTTTTGATTGAATTAAACCTCTGAAAGCAATTTTAGGTCATTTATATAAGAAACTGGGACCAGAGCTAAACAAAGTACAAAATCTCAGGCAAAATAGTTATTATTGACTAGAAAAATTTAAAAAGGAACTGTGGAACTGATTTGGGTTGTTTTAACTATAATTTTTTTTTAGTTCTGATCTATAATCTGTAGCTTCTGTGACTAAAATTCAGTCAGTACTTGCCCAACCTCCAGACCTGGCTCGAAGACTAACAGTAGCCTCAATTGGCCTACTTCAGTATCACTAAGACTAGTATAAGTATAAGATTCACGAGAAGAATAATCTCAACTGATATCGTCATGGGGAATGTTGAAATCATCATCAGTATCACTTAAATCCTCCCCTAAAAAGCTTTCAAACATATTCCTATTAGTTCTTGCACTGAAGGCCCAGCCTTCAACCATTTTAGCTTGGAAAAAAAACTGCCATATAAAACTCCTATTAAAAAGTATTTATTTTCAAGTTATCACGAAACAGCTTGAGCCAGAAGATGATTTAATTATTAATAAAAGGAAGCGGCTATAACTCTGGTTAAATAGTGGATTGGAAGTTGCTATCGGACCGTGTTTTTAATCAGCTGATTTTTTCGGCCGTCACAGCACAGAACGAGAATATAGGCCGATTTTGTCGGCCGACCATAGTTCAAGGGTTAAACCAAGAAGCATAAAGTTTTAAAAAAGGGAGATTACTCTGAAACCAATAATGCAAGAGTTATCCTTTTTGGTTTTTTAAAAACATTCACTTGACAGTGTTAGTGTGTTGTGAAACCTTGTTAGAGCAACCTGTTAATGGGACCAGTGCCATGGCATGGGCCATGCAATCCCTGTGGCTGCAGGGTGCCCCCAAAAATCACCATGAGGCTCTGTTGAGACATTTAATTCCCTTAAATTTAATATTCATGCCCTGGGATACATCTATCTGAGCCTGTTATTGTTATCAATGGAGCAATCTCTACATGTTTTATACATTGTCTTGCTGTTGGGAACATAGTATTAATAAATATTAAGAGTTAAACCTTAATCTAAACTAGGGGTGCCCTCACCGGGGGGGGGGGGGGGGGGGCGGGGGGGGGGGGGGGGGGGGTGCAAGAGGCGGTGTGAGGGGAAGGCCTGGTTCATTTGCATTTTTATTAGCATTATTTATCGGTGGGGTATGTGGGGAATGCTGGGGAAAGTTTTGAAATTGATGATGGGGTGCAGCACTGCACAAAAGTTTAAGAGCCCCTGATCTGAGCCTAAGTTTTATTCCCAGCCTGACCATATACCACCAGACCAGAAGACAAAAGGATACATGTAAACACCAAGTTCTCCACCTCCCTCAGCAACTGTTTGGATGATCTTCTTCATCACATCAGCATGTCTGAAAATTTTTTTAAAAATTTAAACATGGTAAACCCCTTAAAAACCAATTTTTGAATTAAAAGATGAAACATTTTAATGCAATAAAATTTCTATATGAAATTTCTGGCAGACGATATGAAAAAGAGTGAAGAGATAAAAATAAGTCTAATAAAACCTGTATTAATTTAATAGGAATTTCTAAGGCCATGCCAATTTTCTGATATGTTTTTCCTCACGACGGCCACCCATAAAGAAATTTAATAAAAATCTGTGGTCCAACGTTAATAAAATGTTAGAGAATGTGGTCTGAAAAGTGAATTCCTATTATTTACCTGCAGGGATGCACCGACGCCATTGGGGGACCAGGAAGGTTTGGGTGAGTCTCCATTGTGACCGTCTTTTTGGCATGGTCTTGGCTAAAATCATCATACATCTGCTCCACAGTCAGTGGCTTTCTATTCTGTTAAACAGAAAGCAGAACTGTTCTAATAAACATCAAACAGAGAAAATTGAAAGTCAAAAACCGACCCCTAAAAACAAAGTTTTTCACATAAATCCTTTAAGTGCATTTTCTTTTGTAATTGTACACGATTCATCCTTTATTAAGAAGCGGACATGAAAATGGGTAAACTTCTGGGGAAAACATGTTTCATATTTCCTTTAGTAAGATACACTTTATTATTACTGCTATGTCTTTTGTAGAGGGACTAAACTCATAAAAAAAAACTTTTGAAAGGGGTTCAACTGAATTGCCTTTCTTGAATCTTCAGCACCAACAAGTATTTTTAAAAAAACAGGACAAAATTGTTTTTGGGGGTTGGGCTGAAAATTTGAACAAATGTCTTGTTATCGGCAACGAGTCTATTTTCAAAGTTTCAGCTCAATAGCATGAAGGGAAGTGGGTCAATTAGCCTGCCGAAGATTTTGCCACAAAGAAACGCACAAAAGCGAAGTTGGTATAAAATATTTAAAAAAATGACACTTTTGCGTAATTAAATTTTAAAAAATTAGTTTAAGGGACCACACAAGGAGAATCAATAAAATTCCACTCTATATGAAATGCAACATTTCAAATATTGAAACATGGAGGTTGAGGAAAAGTTCTGAATTTATGAGATCAAACAGACAATTGTAGTTCTCATTCAGATTTATGACACCTGTCAGAGGTAATTTTTCATGAAATTGGGGAACAACATTATTAAGTTATGGATTAAGTGTCTTTATTTTTCTTATCAGCTATTAATGCTTTCATGAAAAATCATGAAAGCTGAGAGGATAGCAAGCAGTTAAGAGAACAGCGGCTACATTCTGATCAAGTTCATCAACCTTGTTGATGTTCGTGGCCTTCCCCTTCAAATCACTCAAATGTCACCTACCTCATCATAACCAAATAGCCACAATCGTGGAGTCTGGTAATACTTGTCGTAAGTGATGTTTAGGTCATAGGTTCTTGTCTGAATGATTCCACTGTCCCCTCCAAAGGCCCCCTCGGTTTGGGGTTCTTTCTTAGCAGGCACAGCCATTGTTGACTTTATAGGAATTATTTGAGAAATTAAAAATTACCTTAGCTAAATGGTTGTTGCTTGCACTACAATATTTATTCAAAATTTGTGTGATTATTAAAATTTAACTTTACAAATTATTTCTTAAAATATATATTAATTATAATTTCGTATACTTCAAAGCAGTTGTTCTCAACCTTTTTTTTTTTCGTTCATGGCACAATCTCCTGTGCAGTGATTTCATTTGGCACACTAATGTTCAGGTTGACAATATTATTTTAATTACTTCTGGCTGCAAAACCCACCCGTTGAGAATCACTGCTTTAAAGATGGTTGAGTGGGAATGGCATATTTTTGAGCGTTGCATAAAGTGCAAATGTGGCCTTAACATTACCCTGGCCTTTGACCTTTACCAATAAGTGAAACTTTCTCAAACTGAAAAGTTAAGCTGAGTACCTCATCTTGTTCCTCCAACATTCCACTCTCTTCAAATGCCTCCATGTCCTCAGCCTCTTCGTCATCATCGTCATCATCATCATCATCATCCTTCTTGACAATGTTAGATGAGGCTGATTTAGGATCCTACAAGAATGAAATAAAATACAAATGTATGCTCTCAAAGGTTTTATCAAAGACCTATTAGTTTTATATCAATTATCACAATTAATTAAATGGGAAATTCAAACAGAAATAATCCACAGTTTAGAACAGGTATTCTTAACCTTTTTGCTGTCATCGTCCCCACCTTCTTCTTGGTTTCAAAATGTTTCTCACACTCCCACGATAAAAAATGGTAATAAAAATGCAATTAAAACTGATTTATCTGGGTTGTCCTGTATATAGATAAATACAGTGGCTAATTAGTTTAGTCCAGAAATAATTCCTGTGTATTTAAGAGATTATAATAAATTGAATTTAGGACTAAAATTTACATTAATGAGATCCTGTGGACAACACAACTGTTACTTTATAAAAATTGATTTAATAATGCTCATCTTGTTCAGCAAATTTACCTTTCCATCCAGACTCATTTCACCCATGTCTTCTTGTATGGTATTTACTGAATGGTCGGCTGAAAATAAAAGTTCAAGAAATTTAATAAATCATAATTTTTTAATATGTCGATACATCAACATAGTATCATACATCACATAACATTTTTAAAAACATTATCTGCTGAATTTAAAATTGTACTCTCAGTCTAACTAGATTTACTAATCATTGTTACTCTAAATAGTATATGATTGTATTCATTTCTAATTGGGAGAGGGTTTGTGTGTGGAACATCTGCATGAAAAAATATATTTTGAGGTTATGGCTAAAAAAAATTTTGCAGACCCCCGTCGTAACATTTAAATCGAAAGAAGTCATGATTTTCAAGAACAAATTTTATCAAAGGACATGTTCTATTTAAATATCAAGCTTTTTGTTACTGGCGTAATGATGCGTGTCCACCCATCCTCCATCTTCATCCTCCTCTTCTATGACCTTCTCTTGCTCCTCTTGATGATTGTCCATTTGTTTAACTCTCTTGTAACATGGCACTGAAATATTGTGAAGCAGAGTGCGATTAGAAAACTGAACAAATAATCCACAAAAAAAGCTTTAAGCCCTATTAAACAATGATGTGCGGCGGCTCTAGCAATTTTGATTGCGACAGTCATGACAGTATTTTCCACCCCGTAACTTAGGGCTAGTGTTGCCGTTGGGCCAATAACCCAGCCTTCTAAGATGTGTCTCAAGGTGATATTGAAAATTTTTTTTTTCTTGAAAACTTCATTTGTGTATTTGACAAATATCCTAAAAATGATTTATTTTGTAATCTTTTTATTAAGAAACGCTGTAAGCCTCTCATCATCTTTAGGAAATAGATTCCTATTTTCTTCTCTTCTATAGGGTATTAATAAATTGTTGCTTAAATATTTATGTCAAATTGCTTACTGTTTTTAAGATGATGTGGACATTTTGTTAAATCAGATAATTTATGTGATTGTTAACTCACTGTTAAGGCAAGATTACTAAGATGTTTTAGAGCATTTATGAATACTTAAAATCACTAAACCGTGAATCTGACTTTAAACAAAAATCGAATTAAAATGTATACAATTATGAAGGGTCAGGATTTCAATAAGTTGCAATAATTTTTCTTCTTTTTAAGTAGGATATTCAACAATACAAAAGCAAACAAATTTTAAAACTAACTAACCATTTCTTGTGATTAGAAATTGTTTATCTTTTGGTAGATAAGGCTTAATTTTACTCTCATCTCCCATTGACCATTGCCATGTTGGGCAGTGATGGACAAGATGGTCACCAGCAGCCACAAACTGAAATATATTTAAGTGTTTAAGACAGGCCTGTACAACTCAAAATGTAAGGCGGGCCATAATATCTTATGAAAAACGTGTGCAGGCCAAAAGAAAATAGGACAGGGGGGAAAGCTATTAAGAAAATAATAAGAATACATAATAATTCGTTACTTCATAGGCCGCAAAGTGGGTGGTGGCGGGCCGTATGTTGTGCAGGCCTGGTTTAAGAGATTATTAAATGTTTAGTAATTGTTTGTCTCTTTAATTATTTTTGTTTTTTTAACCTTTATACCATAGATTGGCCTACTCATTCTAAACTCTGTTTGTTCATAAGCTGATCCCCTTAACTTTGGAGAGGAAACACCTGAAAAGTGCAAAACTGTCAGCAACAGGGTGCTAAAGAACTTCTAAGATGAGATTATGCTGGTGCTAAAAACAATTGAATAATGGCGCCGACTACTTCTATTACCGATATTTTTGTGTTTGTGCAATTGAAACTAAGGTGGAAACTCATGAATTGAAAATTGTTTAAATCAAAATTTGTAAAACATGAAAGATGAAAAAGGTACTATATTTCAGGAAGAGAATAATTTTTTAAAAAAAGGATATGCAGATATTTATTAATATTAAACACTTCTGGCTATTTTTTAAAATCTTGTAGAGAGCATGGTAGACTAGGACCAAGACAATCTACATAAACAGTTTCATTATTAAATGTAGAAAATCAAAATTTTTAAAACATGAAAGATGAATAAGGTATTTTATTTCAGGAAGAAAATTAATTTTAAAAAAAGATATGCAGATATTTATTAATATTAAACACTTCTGGCTTTATATTAAAATCTTGTTGAGAGCATGCTAGATTAGGACCTTGACAATCTACATAAATAGTTTCATTATTAAATGTAGAAAATTATAAAAATCTCCTGTAACAACAAAAGCTGACCACCCAACTTATTCCACTGAATTATTTTTTTAAAAGGCAGCTTAAGGATCAGTATATACAATAATTAAAATATTTTGAATTAAATAAACTTTTTAAAAACACAACCAACCTCTTCTGGAGTTATGACGCCAGTCTCTTTAAATTTGGATTCCTACAAGATAACAAATATTTTTTTGTAAATTTAAAAATCAATTTAAGCATCATTTTTATTTCATGTATTGGCCTTATTATTTACAGCAATCAATTTATGCATGAATGATTTAGAGTCAATTTGCAGCAAGATAGTACAGGACTCTATAAAATTTACCAAGCCAGGCAGTCCACTTAATTTCTGGAGGTTTAAGGTCTATTACAACAGTGGCATGTGAAATGCATACAAATATTGACTCATTAAATCTAAGAAGAGAGGCAGCATTATCGAGATGGTTGATAGGTACAGAATGCTAGACAAACAACACCCAAATAGACAAATATTTCACAAATGGACCATTGAATTAAAAAGAAATAAATGCTAGATGCTCCCAAACTGAAGAGAAACACCAGCTACCAACAGAAAGAGATGACTAACAAATTATACCTAAAGACTGATCCCCCACACCAACATTTACAGACTGCTGATAAAAAAGATAGAAAAGTATGGACCATTACATACAATGATAGCTGCTGAAAAAAACCATAGCATCCAAACCAGACAATATAATCATAATATATACAGACGGGTCAACTTTCAAAGAAGGCCTAAATGCATGCTGTGGTGTATGAAAAGATTACCCAGACCTGTTGATGAACTCTGCAACCCCTGTGGTGTTATCTGCAGTCATTATGAAAAAGAACTGACTCTGCCAGCACTACACCACCTGCCTGCAATCTTCACAGCTCATCTGAGCAAAAAAATAAATTTGGGATCATCCCCCAACTGCAAATCAATAATTCAGGCAGCTGAGCATCAAGATCTCACAACAACAACAGTAAATCAGTACTTCTGAAAATAAAACCTATTCCTGGACGCCACAGTGTACCAGGAAATGGCTACTGGATCTGGATGATGCATGAATTATTACAAATAAATCATCTATTGCACAACAGCCCAAAGAGTGCTCTAGCCTGCATAAATAGTCCTTCGACTTGTATCAATGGCATTTTGCAAAGCTGATGCAAATCCATCTCCACATCATCTTTCCAATTGTCTACTGATGAGCAGTCTACCCTTTGGTTTTTCCGTATACCACTTTTACTTAACTAGCATTCTTTCAAAGTGGCTGCGACAGCAAAGCCCACCATTTTTAATGGCCTTCTCTATGATTTGATCCTCATACAATTGATATATTTTTGTTATTGTTCCGTAATGTCCATTCATTATTGTCATGTATTAAGTCTTTCTTTAGGGCTTTCTCACAGATTGAGCAGATTTTCAGCTTTTCTTGTTAAGGTATTATATTTAATACTATCTCAAAATAGTGTCTCAAGAACAGTGTTATAGCTAGGGTTGGTCAGGCCAAGCATTTTGCCACCCCAAACCATTCACAAAAAAAATGCTGCAATTGGATGAAAATGCTGTCATTGCATATAAAGAAAAACCTATGCACCCCTCTTCCTATGCCACTGCCAAAGAATACAGAGCCTTACCTGGATTTATAACTAAAAATTATCCTTGTCATCTTTGCCATGTCAAGGACCAATGTTGTCTTAATACCTAGACACACATGAAAGCCCCTAAAATTCTAGGAACTCTGTCCTGCAGCACTGTTCATGAGCTTCAACTCCAATTCCATAGGACACCTCTTCATTTAATTTTGCTCAAAGCCTTCAATGAGGTAAAGAAAGCTGTATATGGTACAAGGTTGACAGATATATTTAATTCTCAGCCACGGCCATACAGAAAAGATTGCCATTTAGATGAAATTTTTATACCACAAAATTGATAGACATGTGTGCTGACCAACTATAAAATTATACGGCAAACTGTGCAATTTTTTTTATTGCACTCCTACAATTATAATCGCTATCATTTAATAAAAAAATACTGACACAACAGTGATAACACTGGCTATACTTGTGTATGTTAATACTCTGTAAATTGAGTCAATAACTGTTGCTACTTCACAATTAAGCATGACTTAGGCAATGCTAGAAGTTATAGTGAATTATATTGTATAAATTATTTAATAATAATAGTTATTACATTAAATTAATTTAAATTTCATAGATAAAAGAAGAAATTTTGGATAATGTCATGATGACATTGTTGAATCAATGTTGACGAGGCCATGACAGGCAGTTTCAGCTCATAACAGCACAAATACAGTATAGGAACTGCTCATTCCTGCCGGCCAAAGACAATCAGGGACTGGAACAAGCTTTCAAAAGGAACAGTTGCGGCGAAAACACTTGACACATTTGCGTCTATTGCCTCAGGCCTTCCAACACCTATTGCATGATACCCTCACAAAGTTAAGTAGCCCTTGCAAACAGTGAAGCATCCTCTTTATAACCATGCACAGTACAGAAACATTGCGAATCCCTCTACAAACATTGGAGCCAGAATGATCAATACATGATTTTGATGATTAATCAAGGGCCCTCAAAATATAGAAGAAGACAATAATTGTCAATTACAAATTTTGAAAAAGTAAGTAGACCTAAGCATTGAAATATTTAAAAATTCATAGATAGGGGCCTAATGCAATGGTTTAATATTAATAATTATTAAAAGGGCTAACAATAATAAATTGGAATTGATAATAAATAGTAGCCTATAAGCTTACAACTTTTTAGTATTACTTTTATTGAATTAAATTATTAAATTATCAAAATATTAAGTTAGGTCTAGTCTACAATTTCTTCAGTCAGTTTACTAATTTACAGTAGTCCACAAGAATTATGATTATTATAATTATAATTATATTTTAAGGTAATTTCACTGTCTATTACAGATATTTATACCTTTAAAACCGGTGTTAGGTATTCTGCTACCCCAAGTGCAGTACCTTTGACAGAATTTATTAAATTTTGCATTTCAGCTATTGGATAAATGGAGACAGTATAACTGTGAAAATTTAATCCTTTGCTAAAGCTTCAATGAACTATTAAGTGGTAAAATCACAAGATTCTGACGAAAATTAACCCGGAAAGAGAATGATTTGTTAAGAAAAGAATAACTTCCCCTTGATTGTTATTATTAATTATCTTGCGGAAAACATAATATTAAAACATTCTAACGATTGGCCGGAAAAAAAAAGATCCTAATTAAAAAAATTTTTATATCTTTATTTCAATGCAAATTTACATACAGGTCAGGGTTTCCAACACTGAATAGAAAAAAATGGAATAATCATAAAAAAGCAAACAAAAAGAAATCGCTAAAAAAAAAAGTTGAAATATTCCATTTTGTTTCGCTTTTTAAAAATTAAAATTTTAACCTTTTCTTATTTAGCGAACATGCCATTAGTTCTACTAATTGACTTTTAGGAAAAATGTATTTTAGGACACATTTTTACAGACTGCTCGCAAATTTACGGTTGATTGGCCATCGAATAATATTATTCTTCATCTTAATTTCTTCCTTATACTTGTCCTAAAGTTTTCGGTGGGGGCCGTAAAAAAATGAATCTTGTCTCCTTTCCAAACATTTAGCTACGGCCCTTATCAGTGGCGTAGAAAGGGGACTGATGACTGATGGATGGTCCATCCGTCTGTCACTTTTCCTTTATATGGAAGTGCGGCATTTTCGGACAACTGTAGAGTGTGTATCGTGAAAGGGAGAGCGGCAAAATTCGTTGGCCGCTCATGGCCGCACTAAAATTAGCTACGCCCCTAGGCATTGTATCTAACGGCTCCAAAATTGGCCATCATTTTCATCGGCGAGTGGGGCAGAAACCGAGGGCGCAAATGAATCTCGAGCTGAGGAGGTACTTCTGCCCAGAAAATTTTTGATTATTTCAAAATCAAGAGGTGTATTTAGGAGTATACCTGAATTCAATGTTTCTATTAGACATTTTGATTAAGGGAAGGAAATATTTACGGATCTGGGGAGGCATTATGGCGCCCAGTGCCATACATAAGCTGAATTCCATCCGGTTGTGGCGTGCCCAAGGGTAATAATTTGGCACAACTTTATGTTCAACCCCATATTGTAAGATAGATCATCGGGTGGGAAGGAAGCTGCAGAAATTGAGGTTGCTGAAGACAGTTGGGGATATATTCAAAATACAGAGATACATTTTGGCACATACTTGAATTCGGTGTTTCCTTCACGGTATTTCAAACTTTCGAGTGGTATGCGCCAACATTAGCCAACAATAATGATCAAAGACATACCTAACTCCATTCCAGCGGTACATGAACTAAATTCATTCCAGTTGTGTCGCCCTTGATTGTACTCTTTTGCCCTACCTTATTCTCACCCCTTAAAACATTATAGTCCCCAGAAAATGTGTGAATACATTCAAAATGCTAGAATGCATTTTAGCACATACTTGAATCTAACTCTGCAGCATTATGCACCTAATTGACGAGAGCAACGGAAGAGATGCTAGCTTAAAATACGTGCCACTTAACCTTAGAACCATCGCGTGAGCCCAGGAACACCTTCAACTGCAGTGGGCCTCGGATATTTTAGGGGCTTAAAAATGTGACATTCACTTTCTTAACTATCTTTTAATGAAGGTAGGTTGGGGGTGGGGGGAAAAACAGAAAATTGGCAGGGTGCTTCTAAAAGGGTTCCGCTTGACTGCTTGTGCTATGTAAATATTTTTTTTTTTATATTAATAAATTTTAATGTGGCTTTTACTTTTTAAAATGTTAAATAATGGGTGGGTTGTGGTAACCTTCTTAATTAATAAATGAATTTAAAAAATACAAATAAAAAGGTTTACATCAATTTTGTTAGTTTGAATCGGAGTCCCACTTATGCCTATGCAAATGTTCCACGTGACTCATGGTTATGCAATTTTCCAATGCTCAGAGGTTCTAGGTTACTTTCTGATACTCAAGGAGAATGAACAATGGAAGCCGGAATGTTCTAACACTGTAATTTGTAATATGTGTATACTCTACTCCACAGGTTGATGTTCTCTGGGCTGATACTCTCTGGCTTGATATTTTCTAGGTTGATATTTTCTAGGTTGATATTTTCTAGGTTGATATTTTCTAGGTTGATATTTTCTTGGTTGGTACCTTCTAGGTTGGTATTTTCTACGTTGATATGTTCAAAGCTGATATTTTCTAGGTTGATAGATTCTAAGCCGATACTCTAGGTTAAATGCTTTACAATGAAAAATTTCCAGCAGAAATAATTTTAAAAAATCTATATTATCAGCAAACCTTGAGCAACAATACCAGTGTGGGAAGAAAGACTGTGGCTACTTAGATTCAAACGAACTAGTCACTACTAAATCTCCCACTGTCTTGCGTTGCCATAGAGATCAACTTCCTGCCAGTAATTAATTCAAAGGTGTTAAGGTGTCACCAGCATCGGGTGACCACTGCCTATTGTTGAACTAATATTCTGCACCAAAATTATGTTTTAAAAGTAAAACCGCGTGGGGTGCCATGGTTGTCTTTGCTTTTTAGCATTGCACGCCACTCACCCATGACTTTTTAGCATTGCACGCCACTCACCCATGACTTTTTAGCATTGCACGCCACTCACCCATGACTTTTTAGCATTGCACGCCACTCACCCATGACTTTTTAGCATTGCACGCCACTCACCCATGACTTTTTAGCATTGCACGCCACTCACCCATGACTTTTTAGCATTGCACGCCACTCACCCATGACTTTTTAGCATTGCACGCCACTCACCCATGACTTTTTAGCATTGCACGCCACTCACCCATGACTTTTTAGCATTGCACGCCACTCACCCATGACTTTTTAGCATTGCACGCCACTCACCCATGACTTTTTAGCATTGCACGCCACTCACCCATGACTTTTTAGCATTGCACGCCACTCACCCATGACTTTTTAGCATTGCACGCCACTCACCCATGACTTTTNCCCTTGGGGGGGGGGGGGGCGGAGAACGAACGACCCTTACAAAGGGGTCACCTAAAATCATCGGAAAAAACATGTTTCTGAAGTAGCAACGAAAATATGTGCATAGTTGGGGATTACCAAACACGAGGAACTGTATTAAAGGGTCGCGGCATTAGGAAGTTTGAGAACCACTGTCTTAAAGGGTCGTGGCATTAGGAAGTTTGAGAACCACTGTCTTAAAGGGTCGCGGCATTAGGAAGTTTGAGAACCAATGTCTTAAAGGGTCGCGGCATTAGGAAGTTTGAGAACCACTGTCTTAAAGGGTTGCCAAACGAATCGTCAATTTAAAGACATTCCGCCAAAAAAAAAAAAAAAAAAAATGAAATCAAATAACTTGTCCCTAACCATCCTTAAAACTCTGGGATGTCAATTTTAAATGCACTTGAGCCAACCCTACACTTGAGCCAACCCTACACTTGAACCAACCCTACATTTGAACCAACTCTACTCTTGAACCAACCCTACACATGAACCAACCCTACACTTAAACCAACCCTACACTTGAACCAACCCTACACTTGAACCAACCATACACTTGAACCAACCCTACTCATACTATTTAGTATATTTTTGGTTTTACTTGTGGTGTGCCGCTGAATTTTTTGAAAGGCCTTGTGTGTTCCACGATTGAAAACAAAAGTTGCTTAGCTCTGCTCTAAGGGCAACCTTCGAATGGTGTAAGTCTAGATTACAATGGCTCATTCAGACCCGTGTTTCCTTTTTGTTTTGTTTTTGACAACCTTGATATTGGTAATAATGGAGCCGCGATAAAGAATTTGGGCCAGGGCAATTACATGGTCCCAGCATGTCTTGAACATTTTCTTGAAACCAATTTAGATTTAAAACATGCCCATAAAAAACGAATTATATGGGGGCCAGGATACGTTTGTTTGTTCTGACAGTGTTCATCCCTTCAAATCTATAGTATGTCCAAAGTTATAGAAACAAAGAAGGGGAAAGGTGGACAAAAAAGGGGTGGTGGTGGTTATCTTTGTCAGTTCAAGAGAATGATTATAATAACCAACAACCAGTGTTGTTGCACTTTTAACTTAAAAAATGCGCCTACACTAATGGTTGGAACATCAAATTTTTCAAGACAATTTGAAAATAGAATGCATATTATTATGTTTGAACTATTATCAAAATTGTAGTCCTTTATATTATGTAAATAAAGTTTTTTTTAAAAGTAGACTATTCAAACTTGTGAAGCTGCAAAAAATAAATTGATACAAATACTGATATATGCAAACACCGTTGAGTAAGACCTCGGTTTATAACCAGGAGTGGCCAATACGATATTTATGATCGAAAAGTGTAAGGCTGTGACAACATATAGCCTACCTTAAATATACGGATCGTCAAATGTAACGATCGTAGCGATATTTCTTAGGTTCCATTAATTGTAATTGGCCAAAGGCACTGTTAAAATGTTGAAACATTAAAATGAAGTCGTTTTTAAAAAAAAAAATGTATTATCGTAACATTTTCCCCCGGGGTGAGGGGGGGGGGAGGCACTTGACTTGCTCCGGGGCAGTCCTCCCCCCCCCTCCCGTTGCCTGAAAGAAACAACACTGAAATAAAGTACTGCAATGACAATGGCGAACAAGTTTGTTGTACCACTTGTTTCTATTCCTTGGCATAGTTTCATAATGTGTCCTGTGTGATGATGAAGGCTCAGCGGAAACCTTCCTCTCTCCATTCAAGCTTCCACATACCCCGCTCTTCTATTTGATTTAATTGCGGAATTATTTATATGAATATCTACTGTGTGACGCTAAGTGTCAGTGTGTGTGTTGTTTTTGTATGTTTGTATTTTAATTTGATACTTTATAATAAAAAAAGACAAATCAATGGATCGCAACCTAATTTGACATGGTCGGTCCTCCTGACTTATATCAGCGGTTCTCAATATGTAGGTCGCGACCCCTTTGAGGGTCGAGCGACCATTTCAGAAGGGTCGTCTAAGACCATCGGAAAGCACATTTACTCTACAGTTTATGAAGCAGCAACGATAACAATTGTGTATTTAGGGGTCGCCACATAAAGAGGAACTGTGTAAAAGGGTCTCGGCATTAGGATGGTATAGCTGGTTCCT